AAGTATGTTTTTGTTTTGAGGAGAAATACAACTAATAAATTACCAAAGAGAAAGTTTTACAAAAGTTTAACAAAAACATTAACTGTAATCATTACTGTACATGAAGATGACCAGATGGTGGTTTTTGTTCCCCCACCAATTAAACAAATAAATCACTCCACAAATGCTGCTTTTTGATCTTAAATCACAAGAATGCATTCATTGTAGTTTGGAAAGTAGAGAACAGGTTGCTTAATAAGTGTGATCAGTGTCAAACCAGTACCATGAAGCCGGACAGAATATTAAACAAAAACATAATTTGTACCTGATTCTGATGTGCTTTGGCTATTTGCTCATAATTCCTGAGAATAAAGAAAAATGCCCCATTGACTTAATAGATCCACCAATATTTAATATTTTAATGATTGCTATTTTGTTTGGTTCTCTTGAGAATGCCAATATTCTCCAAAGAGTCTTGTTTCACAAATCTGAGATTTAAGAGGAAACAGGACTACGTGACTGTAAGCTACATGTAGCTTCCTACAGTAACAAGGATCAGCTATTGGAAGGGATCAGCTACAGTGTAGTAGGGGACCAGCTACTGTTTGACTTTGTTTTGACAAAGGACAATTGCTTGAAATGTGAGCATTGCAAACTCACTATGGCAGTTAATATCACCTTCAACTTCATGAAAAATAGCTAGGTAGTTTAAATTTTCAGTACTTTCTTTGTAACAACAGCAACAAAAATTGCATATTACATTTTATTTAACTTTACATCCGGCAGTGTCAGTTAATATAATATGCCATTTCTGAATTGTCTTTAAAAGCTTCTTTCTCAAACCAAGTCTTGGTGCCCTCCTTTCATATGAAAATGAGGTTAATTCACATGCAAATTAAACTCATTTTCAGATGAATGGTAGTGCACCAGGCCTTGTTTTGATAGAGAAGCTTAAGTCAACTCAGAAATGGGCTATCAATTTAGGCACTGTCAAGAAAACAGGAAAGAACTTATGGCAAACTTTCCCTTGATGTAACATGAATTTCAGACTTAAAAATAGCCTACATTATAGGAAATGTGCTACAATTGCTACAAGAAATCAAAGACAAAGACAGTCTTACGTCTTCATGATTTTTAGAGCCATCACTTCTTTTCTGAGTGCCTCTAACTCCTCTTCTTGTTTCTTCCTCTGCTGATGTAGGAATATGATGTACTCAATGGCTGAAAGGGAAACACAGCATACAATAAACATAACAGATAGACATGCTACAGAGATCTTCCATGGATAATGTTACCACATGTACAACATGGATGTTAACATGGAAGATAACAATAATGTATTTAGAAAGCCACTCAGGATGTCCATGTGAGAAAAATCTGCAACACAGGATTGGCTATTTCTAGACACTCTGGGAATTTCCAAAACCGGGAGTGATCTAAAATTAACTAAAGAAGAATTACATTGGGAAGAAGGCTTTTATAAGGGATTAACTCTCTTGCCTAAATTAACATCTCTGACCGGTAGTAAAACCTAAGACAGTACTGCAACACCTGTGACAGGTTGAACATGTACCATCAGTTAAGTATGTCTTTACGGTAGTTGCATGATCCACCTTCTGTGGCTTGAAATAAGTTGACGTGATGCTATTCAAGCTTCACTGTGTCTGTGGTCTCACAACTTATAATAATTGTTGGGTCTTGTCTTACTTACATTTCTGAAGGATGATGGCCTTACTTAGCTTTTGCATAGCTGTTGCTGTGTTTGGCTGGTGGCAAGTTGGTACGATTGTCTGCAGATCATCATACCCCTTCTAAATATGACAAATAAACAAATGAATAAATGAGTTCCTTGTGCATTGGCAATGTTACTTAATCAGAAATCTGTTTCTTAATTGCTTAGTAATTTACATGTATCTTTCAGTTGATATCGTAGTTAATGATAAAAAGTTGTGATGTTTTGACCTGTCCGAGGTCATTTTCAAGTATGAGTGAAAAATACAAAAATTAGCATAAATATGATTCTAACAGTAAAAACAGTTTTCTTAAAAAATGTCACGAACGGTAGAATGCAATGAAGTAAAAAAGTGTCATTAAGATAAAATACAGAAGTTTCAGGCTCAGTTTTTCATGCTGGTAACTGCATAATGCAAAGTCAAAACTGCTGATGGGAAAACATTTGCCATGATGCCAATATTTCAAATCTCACTGCGGTGAAATCCTACAGTTGGTAAACTGTAAATGATCATAAACAAATACTTTAACATCCTACATGTTGACCACACTTGTATGACGACACACAGACCGCGTCATGACAGTCATAAAACACAAGAACAACTGACCCTTATAGCATCCCTCCTCTTTTGCTCAGCTGCACTGTGCGCAAAACGTCTCTGTTCTTTGGCAACAAACACATCAGTTTCCTCATCTTGTGAATCTAGAGAAAAAACATGAAAATCATTTTATCAATTGATACAAACAAAAGGATACTAAGCATTATTATTATCAGTAAATCCTTCTAGTCCCTGTGAACTCTACAGGACATATGACCTTAGGAGGTCTGCCAAGTGTGTAAGTCTGAGGTGACTGGGGTTTTTCAAATTCATCTACTACTTCATGTGTTTCTCTTTTTATTCATCTCTTTGTAATAATATTCCCAGGTTTCCTTCAATTCAATTTCAAACTAAAACTGGTTGTTAAAATACTACACCAAAAACTGTTAATCTAAGTGTAAACTAGTAACAGCAAAAATATTATATTTGTTAGGAAGAACTTTTGATTAAGAGTCTCTCCTACCAGTTCATTTCAAAGAAAAAAATTGTATTATAACACTGTTTGAGCAATCTGTGTCCATGATTAAAATCTTAAAAAAGGAGTTTAAAACTGATCTGAAAATATGTTAAAACTGAATTCTTGACCACTTTCTGTGGTCTTCTTCAGAGAAATGTACCCTGCAAGAGCCACAGAATGCAAATATGTAGCTAAGACGTCATTGTTCATTGCCCCCTAGGGAGGAAACCAGTGATGCATAAGCCCTTGGGAAATGTGCTTTTACATTAACAGAGTTAATGTCCAGGAGTGAATATAATGACTCTAGAAAAAGCGTTTTGGTCTTTTTTTTTTAACGCCTGTTTCCAAAATGCTTGCATAATTAGGGTGTATGTCATGGCCAGTGGTTTCGGCATTTTGTTTTACTGCGGTAAAGTCTACATGTGAGTCAAGTGGCCCATCAGGCCAGAGCTTATCCCGGGTTCTGTAGCATGAAGCAACTAGGAGTATTTCTACTCCCCCCTGGATGGGATGCTAGTCCATCGCAGGGTTACCCC